CAGCTATGACACTTCAGCATAATTTATCTCTTAAGCCACTTGTAAAACAACTGTGAGATGGATTCGTTAAAATTTCTAGTGCAATACAAATTCGGGCCCATGCAGCGTCGTTAAAAGAATTGATTAACATAATAGTGATGGTAATTATTCTTTCTGTCCGCTTTTGGATCCCTCGACCATGAACGTACATGTATGGTAAGGCCTTGGTGCAAGCTATAAACGTACAGCAACCGATACTCTTAGTAAGTAAAGTAAGATCCAAGTAGGTCCATTATTTGGTAACTATCCATTGTGCTACTAATTCATTGAGTAAAAAATCCTTAAATCCATTCTTTCGATTACACGGTGGGAAGAATCATGACAAAAACTAGACGCTGTTCCCGCATCAAGTTTCTAACTTACATTAGGGACTCAAGGACAAGTTATACGACTTTCACCTCCCACGGAGATACAAGAGAAAGCCTGCTTTTTCAAGCAAGTTTCTTTCATCCTCTGACCTCTTTCACACTGCGAGAAATGAACTCGACCCGGTGCGTAAAGGGTACTCAAAGATAATGTTAAACAATATTAAGTTATCCCTGAAGGGATTTATTAAACCAACACGTGAAATAAAGCAAATGGTAGCACCTACCTTTGAATAGCAAGTGATCAAAGGATAGATAAAAAGCAGATTCCGTGTGAGGGATCGAAAGGATTTGAAACCATTCGTGCGTGCGGCAATCGCTGTAGATCGCGGATAAGGATACATTCAATACGTCGAATGATGTTTATCATTAGACGTAGCGTTTTAATGAGCACGATGACTGATAGTAAAAAATCTGGTCGCGTATATATTAAGCTGACTTGGTTACGAACGAATTACTACGGATTTAGTTAATTCAAGGTCACAATCAAACGGAACCGCGTTGGATATGGAAGCTTCATTTAACTAGTTGATTTTAGTGCAGATTGCCACCGTATTTGGACGGAACAGCGATTTTATTGTGGACGTAACACCTTCCTTATTGCAGTCACGTACTATACTCGTAATACGAGTCAAACGGTCACAGTTTTATGTATTTTCCAATATCAATTATTAATACCGTCTCATGATCGTTTTGTAATTGTTTGTCACTAAAATAAAAACGTTACAACCAGGTACTTATGGCTATGTGCAATAAGGAAGTTAAGTGCAATGCATATTATCTTCCTATTCAACGAAAACATAAAAGTAAGAAATCGCTTAGCAACCAAAACAAAATAAAGTTCGCAAAATGCTAATACTAGTACACAAGTACGAGCGGCTATGTATTAAAAATTAACTACATTTGTTTCATTGTTCAGAAGATAGAAAAACAATCGAACTAGAACTAGTTAAAACGTTGCTAGAAAATAGTTATTACTGCGACTGTTTGGCGCCAACGTTTCGAAAGTGTTTTACTTACCACAGACTTAATAAGATCGTTGGTATATTTGTCAATGGTTTATCCCTTCTTATATGAATAAATGTGTAGTCCAAAACAACACAAAAGTCCTTATAAATGCAATACACGCAAAGTTATATCTCAAAAAAGAAAGTTAATAAAAAAAAACACTATCAAATGTCATATCATACCCATATTCCCCAGAGTTGAATGGCCCTTTTTGAATATAAATGAAAAAAATAAATAAAAATTAAGTTACAAACTAGTTCCAAATACGAAGAATTGGTACAGACATGTATGTAGATGTAGATTTATACAGTAATGTTAAAACTTTTAAAAATAGATATTCCCCGAACGTCGACCACAGGTAACTAACATACACAATGGGTAAAAAAGAGGGTCAAACCATAATAATAATCTATAACATGGCGCCTCTTTATGTATTGAATGATAGCTCAACGTGAAGCTGGGCTTACCCAGAAGCATGCGTCTCGTGGGCTTACCTGCAACAAAACAAGAATTATTTAATAAGATGTTAAGCGTATTATCAAATACATTGGATATCAGAAACGTAAAGGATAAAACAAACGTATAAATATATCAAGTTATACAAATATACATACAACATAGACACAATCCTGCTTTGAATGCCAGAGGCAACGTATCGTGGGAACTTTTTGTTAATAATACTTAGATAGGTCATGATTATGATACAAATATTTTATATGAACCAGATAACAAATGTATTAGTAGACAACTCACGCTCCCATTGATTTATATTCAATATAAAACCTAAGAGCTTATTGGTTTTGCATGTCAAGTCACGATGCTGTAACCACTAGTATGGATAAAGAAAAAAATAATTGATTCTAATCACTTCTGAGTTTTATCTAAACTCTAAACACAAGGTCAAATGATTAATGACATTTAAATCGAAATGATTACTATAAGAAGACATCAAGATCAAAGGTAAGTACGAAAAATAAAAACCATCTTCCGTTTTATGTTATTAGCATAATCTGAACAAAGTGTTCCATTCCAGGTAAACAAAACAATATTTCATGGTAGCCGTTCGTACATAACAATAACTTGGTCAACACTCAAGCGCAACGTCCGCTTTCGGAAGAGTTCGGTTTAAATCAATGTCACAGCGTCTACGGTACAAGAATAATGGTGACCATTAACTTTCATCACTTCACACACACGCGAATATTTCAATAAACCCGGATTTGAATGTGACAATAGTTGAAACATTGCTGGAAGTATTGCTTTTCGAACGCTCGCGCGGAACAGCGACCTTCGCAACTCAATTTGTGTGTGATACGCATTGCTCATACTGATGGCTACAAGTACACACGTTTATCATTTGTGGAATAGACCTACATGGTTGTGCATTCCTAATTTGTAATTTATTGTTTCTATCCGCATGCTTTATCAGGCATGGACGAACTAATGCTATAAGTTAGTCGTTGTTTTAAGTACCTAGTAAAGAAAGTGTGGTAAAATGAATAGGCTCACCTGATACAACTGTTGCTGTGGTAACAAAAATAACTATAATAATTCAAGAACACGTTCTTATCTTAGTTTACATTGGAAATATTGTGAGTAACTGAGGTAATTTAAAAAGAATATCTTCGTGAGGTAGCTCAATGAATATTCATGGAAAGGAACCATTTGCATGAGTAATTGATAGAAGTAAAACATTACTGTGACAGGTTAATCGTGCTAATTGAACCGGGCGACTTTATCTTGGACCAAGAAAATGTTGTATGTTATAATGCACGCATAGCGTTAAATGAAATTGTATTAACGGTATTATAATGTTTCACTTATCTCCAAGTGGACACTTCATGTTTTTTGTAATTAATCGCCAGCCGCTGCGCAGTTTAAAAGATTAAGAAAGCCGATGTTTTTTTATTTTTCTAGTAGATCGATCAATAGTTGTCATTATTATTATGTTCTGGTTTTCATCATGTTCCACTTCTGATCTTTGATTAACTCATTTCCATTTAATTAATACCTAATAGGTTATAGAGGTTTCTTTGAATCTTACATTTCAGTTTGGTGTCTAAGAGATACATAACTTATAGGTGTATTGTATGTTGTTGCTTGGATGTAAAGAACAATGTAGCAAGCGTTCACATGGGTTTACATTATATAGGAGCTCGTGGCGATATAACAACGCAAGATAGACAACAACGTCAACGACAGATATATCCTTCCAAGGAAACTTATATAAAGCCGGTACGTTTATTGTGAGCTATTATCTTTCGTACATCTGTGTTCGACGCGTGTGAACGACAACATAGGGAGTGCATCGCATGACTAATCTACCCTCTTAGCATTCACACAGCGAGCTGAACTTTACCGATAACATGAATCGTATGCATCGCGGTACAAATGACAGACAACCGGCGCTGCCGCCGCAGAATAACACAACTTGTGTTTATCTAAACTGCTATCAAACTATCGATCATCTCGACATTCCATACATAACATCACACTCGTTTACCTTAATAGGTTCGTGTGGTATATTTATAAGTGTGAAACACAGTTTCTTTACAAAAATTAATAGGTTTTAAAGTAGGTATCCGATTATGAAGAATGAAAAATAGAATGAATGAAGAATAATATTTTATGAATATCTAACTTCTTATTTAAATTCCAAGGCATCTCTGGATACCTACGATCTTATAACAAATGCAATGTAACGTTATCGTTTACATTTGATGCACATCCGATACATTCAGAAGGTTCGAAGGTTTCTATATTTGACCTAGACTAAACGTAAACATTGAAAGTAACGTGTTTTAGGTACGTAAGGACTAACCTCACTCAATCTTGCCACCTACGCAACCAACATGTTGTTGGATTGTTACAGAGCACAAACAACCATACAATACTCTTATTCTAACAGACTTCCTTACGAGTCTTGGAATTTATCATTTGTATTGTAAGCGGTTAGGATCAACCAAATCTGGTTGTAGTAACGTACACGGGAAGTTGCAGAGCTTGAAGCCGATACGCGCTGGATAAACCCTGTTTAAACAAATGCAGTTGTTTAAATTTTTTGACATTTGATTAATTTTGTACTTATGAGAACTTCAGTCAAAAACTTATTGAAAAAACAAAATATATCCACAGATTTCGGATTAGAATCGGTTGTTGATTTTGGCTGTTAAATAATTTATTTTTTTCAATGGGTAATAGGGTACCCATAAATTAATATTAGGTATTTTTGTTATGGATGAATGAAGAATCGGTGTCATCTAATTAAGAATATCTTATCATTAATATGGAAACGTAATAATTACTTTGGAACGTATCGGCGTATAGCAATGAACAACTAATTTATTTGTGTTCAATCTCCGCCATTTGTCAACAAAGCGCATCACGCAAATATCGAAGCTGTTCAACGAACAACGAGCGAAACGAACCAGTAACGAAACGTAATGTAACACATGTTCATCCGCACACACACTGGTAGACTCGCCACTGTAACCGTACGATGACCGCGGCAAGTATAAACATGCTATGAATACGTGCAAGGATATTTATGTTTGACTCACTCGCTCTTTATCGCTTTACGCATAGTGCGAAAGAGACAACTAATATCGGATGCCGGCTGGTTACTGCAACGCGCCTAAGCGACGTCACATCGTAGGACCGCGTGTTCGGTTGGAACGACGCGATGCCCGCCATTTTGAAGCCAGTGTAGCGTTCGTGCGAACTAGAAACGACGCGCGTCTTGTTGCAAGTCAATAAATTAGGTACAATTATGGCCACAGCAACGATAGATGAGTGGACTGAAGAAAAGTGTTTACAACTAATACGAGAGTTTAGAAGTAGACCGATACTATGGGACCAAAAAGATCCGTTCTACTTTAAAAAGAACATGAAACCTAAAGCATGGCAAGAGATAAGTGACAAAATAAACATCTCTCCGGATAAATGCAAACACAAAATGATTATTTTAATGTCATCTTTTAGAAGAGAAAAAGCCAAAATAATGCACAGCATTACGGATTGTTCGGGTAAGTAATTTGTGCTATTTTAATAAACTTTGGTGTCTTTTGAATAAAGTATTTATTAAGTTTTATTTACTTTAATAACTATAATATGTCTTTGCAGAGGCTTCTCAAGCTTACAAAAGCACGTGGTTTGCGTTTAAAGACATGGTCTTTTTGATGGATAAAGACAACGAAAGAAAACGACAATTAAAACAAGTGAGTATTTATTTAAATATTTTAGTTTCAATTATTGTTTACAACTGACCCGCCCCAGCTTCGCACGGGTGAAATATGCATGTATATAATAATAATAATATATAAACCTTCCTTAACTCGTCGAGTACCGGTTTTCTAGACACAATTATAGAACAATAGGTTGCGGTCACCGGTGACCGCTTGGTGTTTGACAGTTTAAGAATCATTCTATCTATTAAAAAAACCGCATCAAAATCCGTTGTGCGTTACCTGTCCCTATAGACAGGCAGACGCGATAGCGACTTTGTTTTAAACTATGTATTGATATTGATTGCACATATCGAACTATGCATAAACTGACCGTCAATTGTGCAGAAAGGTAAATATCTATACAAAGCGAGACCACGATAAACTGGCTTTGTACCTACAGCTATGTGTTGCCGTGTGTACTTACGTATCCGACTTATATTTAATACGAAATTTTGTCAGGATTTCATTGTATAAACGCAAAAACTACTGAATGGATTTTGATTAAACCCTTCGTCGAATAAAAAGTTTGATGTTATGATTATGTTTTAAATAGCTTTGTCGCTTAGTGATCACAATATTGCCTGACACTTTTCAAAGTATTATAATTTTTATTTTAGAGCACTGGCAGTACTGGCGGCACTGATGATGACGAAGACGATGATTGGGTTGTGTCTAGTTTTCAAAACAAATTGCTGAGAAATCATATGGGCAGACCTAATGCAATGAGACACTCAATGGCGTACAAACAAGAAATGTATCAAAAGGTGTTAGGTTTAGTGCCGGACGATGATCACGCGCCCACTCTGCACCCTGCACCAGGTCCCAGTCAAACAGTTGAAGAACGAGACGATGAAATTAAATCGTTTCTTACATTCATAGGAAATAAAATGAAAAGGTACACAGACGACACTAAAAACGCCGTGCAAAGAGCAATTTGTGAAGTAATATTTAAGGCAGATCAAAATTACTATAATTCAAATTTAAATTGTACCGAAAAGTACACTATTATAGACACTGAATCTGATCCTTTGCACAAGGAATTATACGAAATGCAAACCGAAGCAGTGATAAAAGTACAAAATGATTCCGATGAGGATGAAATCAGTAATTAGTTTAAGACTGCCATAATCCTAAAGTCTGCATTAGATTAAGTTTTGATACGTGATTGACAATTGACACGAGTACTATGAATAAAGTACATAATTATTTTTGGTAGACATGTGTTTTTTTTCGTTCCTAAGGTTTATAAATTACATAAGGTTTATAAGTTATGTTAACATGCAACTCAAACCGCCTTTCGGTTGTTGTAGCATTGTAGGGCAAGGGACGGGCACATTGCGGCCAAGGATACCCTGTTTTGATGAAGGGATTTTCATTAGGTATAAGCTTTTGTTTAGCTTTATAAATGTCATATTTTGTATAATTAAGAAATAAATAAATTGGTTTATGTCCAGTAGTGACTGCATACTGACTGATGATGGTGATGATGATGACATACAATTAAAAAAATGCCTTGCTTCTCAATTCTATAATAAATTCATCAAGTACTAATTACAATGTGCAAAGAATATTAAATTATATCATAAACTAATAATATAACAATTGATTATCTATATACCTCGTAACGGATCTCCCTGAGTAATAAATAAGCAACGATTATCTAATGACGATCAATAATGTTAATGACAAAGAGTTAAACATGGGTTTGATCCTTTTCAATGTAACTATTAGAATAAAACGCCATACACTATTGTATAGGACATCTGATATGTTAATTTATTGTGACTTCATCTTATGATTTCCAACTACACGCGTGTCATCGGCTATAGAATTACTGACAGTTTAATAGCTTCCTATATCATACTTGATTTAATAGACTTAGTTATAGCATCGAGTAATATATTTAATCCAATTAACTAAAAGCCAACAGTCTATCAAAGATTACTTAGTAGTTTCTTACTAACATAAATGTACACATAGACATTCACATGAAGTGGGTTCCCCGGGGTTCACAAGTGATTTATATTTTAGTACACAGTTGATTATTATTTATGCCGTTGGAAATTTACTCGAGCGCTCAAACTTTGTTAACATATTTTTCATCCGTGGGTGTCACATTTATCTTTGAAATTATGTAGTCGTTATTCAACGTAGAATTTAAAGTAACTCCTAGTCAGGAGTTTTTGATGCGATCACGATAAATTGAAGGCTGATAGTCGTCGTCGGGAAACTTTAACGTGTTTTTACAGAAGAGAACTTCCTGACTAAAGACGTCATTACCACGCGTCTTATGGGAATTTCTCAGCTTGTAAATACCATGATGTTTCTTTCGGACGATTGAATTCAGATTAATCTCTTAGTATAACGTAAGTGAAATATGAGTGAGTATTATGGCCGTAAGATTTTATGATTTAACTGAAACCACTTGTTTTTCATGCTTACCAGGTAGCAGGTAATGTAATGTAACTTAGTTTAGTTAGTTTAATTTTAATTCAAGAAGATTTTAGTTCCACTCTTCTGATACGTTGACAAATAAATAAATACAAACAAAACCATACACGTATATTGATTTAGGGGTTCAACAAAGCAGTAATACGTCCAATCTGTTTATACATCGAACATACGCATTAAATTCACGATATATTTGTTACAAAAGCTATTTTGAAAGTGGGACATCGAATTGAAAGTCTTTATAGTAAGTCAGTTAGGACGGTAGGGAGCATTCTACGTCCCCTTCATTACTTAGCAGTCCCGCATTCAAGTTACACAGGTCATTAAACAATTTCAATAGCGACTTTGAAGAGTGGATTCCCACAGATCTAATATTACTGAATGGGTCACGTAATGTTTAAATATTTATAAGATGTAGGTACTTACGTTTGAAATGTATAAGAATACGGAGACAATGTTTAGGTAACTAGGGATACTTAATGCTTTCATTGATCAAATATTAAATAAAAATAAATGCCATCAATGTGCATGGTTAGCGAATTCAAAGCCGAGAAAAAGGTAATCAATTCATTGAGCCTAAGGTAACCAACTAAAACGAAAACAATTTAAAATATTCAAGATATTAAACCGGACGCCATCCAGACACAAAAAGTTGATACAGTGTTGTTAAGGTGAATTTAAAATGTTGAAAATTGAATACACCTTCTAAAAGAGTGTAGTAGGTGTTCTATTTGCTTTTATTTAATTTGATGAAAAGACATTCTGCGAGGAATGCAGGAAGGAAGCGTTTTGGACATTGAGTCGTAGGTATTTTAAATAGAAATTGTGACGACATAATGTTCAATGTATTGTGATTGTGACTACAATTGTCATGGTGGCCCGGAGGTTAAAGACGCCTAATACGAGACGACGAGAGAATAGACGATAATTTACGTATAAGTTTAAAATCGCCAACCCGCATTGAGCAAGTGTCGTGATTAATGCCCAAAACCTTATCCGTGTGAGAAGGGGCTTTGCTCAGCAGTGGCCACTCATAGGCTGTTGATATGATATGTTCAGTAGGAACCAGTTTGAGTAAATTTTTGTGTGTGTAATGTGTCACTGTTAAAATGAAGATTGCCTATATTTTTTTATTTTTATTTTTGTTTTTCATCTAGTCTACTCTGTTATTAACTATTCGAATATAAACATCTCGATTGTATATTGAGTGCCCATACTTTGGAATGCTAGTATAAGAAGCCCATACGACTAAAATCTTTAGTGGCCTCGTATGATCAGCGCCCGTTTTTAATAAGAGTAAATTAGTACCTAGGTAATAAACCCACAGATAGGAACCGTAGCCAGTATTAATAATTTAATTTGTTAAATAAATTTGTAATTTTATGTGATCATAATTACCAGAGGTGAAATAGAAATATATTCTTTATGAGGACGACGCCCTTCGCCTCGAAAGCCTGCAGTGCAACTTTTAGTGGGCTTCCACAGTCCACAGCCACCGCATCCCAAGTTATAATTATGTACATATTTTAGCTCAATGCTTCATTTCTTTCCAACGAACAAAAAGGCCTACAAAATCACCATCTACTAACAAAAACAATAATACCTCATAGGTTAATAATTACACGTGTGTCTAATGATATAACAACGTGTCCTCTAATCAGCTTCGTATTATATTTGACAAAGCCAATTTACTATCATTATAATTATAAGTAACAACAGCTAGTATGGAATCTTAATATGCTATTACTTTAGCGAAACAAGACCAATTACGAGCTAATAAAGAGAATTGCCTCGACACAGAAAAAATCTTTTCTGTAAATGTCAGCGCGGTCAGGTCGACCGCATAATATTTCCGCAGGGAGTCGTATCTCGTCAAAAATCTACAACAATCCAGTTACTAGCAGGACACGCCCAGTCTCGAATGAACTGGCGACGTGCACGATCTTCATTACACGCACAAATAACCCCAAGCCATAAAGGTCACGGAGGTAAACGAGTAATGAAAACAGACTTGAGATCTAACAAATGTAACTTATCGTGACATCGCCCACGCATGATAGCATCGCGCCGACGACAATGGGCTCATGGAATTAGGCCTTCGGGGACACGTATTCTACTCGGAAACAATTTGTGTATGGGTTTTTATCTTCACTTGGTAGATGCAATCTTAAAAACATTTGAATAATGTGCCTATTGTTAGAAGCAGCTTACTTCAAAGGTCTAGGTCACGAGAACGTAAAATACATTCAACAAAATAACTGAATAGTAATTAAAATTGAAAGTGTTTGAAAAGAAAAGGTGAAGAAATGAAGCAAGCCAGTATTTTTTAAAGAATCGTCAGGTTTATAACACATAATGGTATAATTTGTTGCCATTATATTCATGACGCATTAAGGGCGGAGTACAGTCGGTCATCTATCATATTTTATGAGTCAGCAAAACAATGCGCATGCTGTTTACATGTGAGACAGTAGGTTATAACTATTGTCTTATTGGTCATCAGAAGCGTGTTAGGCGTCTTGACGACAAGTTTATTACGCATCTTTATTCTAGGCACATCAATAAATCATATTAAATAGCTTATGAATCAGCAGAACCTGTCACCGGGTCCCGATGTTGATCCTAATCTTTGTTCACATTTCTAAGGTTTAACTCGAAATTATTCATAAGAGTAGACTGTAGAGTACTTAGTTTAGCCGAGTCAAAAGCAAAATTGGGGTCCAAGTGGGATTACGTTAACGAGCTCATAATAGGATTACGTACGTCGATGTGTCCCAGTTTCAAGACGCACCGTTACTAGTCAGCCCACACCCGTCGGCAGTCTGTGACAATATAATGATTGTGTGTTTATCGGTACAACACACGCTAAGTGCAATAGGTAGCTAGAGAATCTATATGGTATGGAATCTAAATCAAATCCTTCTAAGGATCAAGCCCACAACATTGATATGATCAGTACGAGCTTGTATTGAGTATAACACGATCAGAATCGTGTTCAATTCATTGTTATGATTGACAATATTTTGATAGAAGGTGAAAGCTCGTGAATCTGTTATGAACAGACGACAAATTTGAGTCGAGTACCATAATTTTCAATTCACATCACGCAGCGTAATTGAATGAACGGGCGGCGCGATCATGGACCGCGTGCCATTTCACTCGGCCGTGACTCACGAATTAGAGCTAAGTCGAGATCGTAATTATGCTAGAGTTATTTCGTGCACACCCACTCGCCCAGACATGGCTAGATAACAAACGCATCATAAAACACGGTATTTTAATCAGTGTTCAAATTGACCTTAATTTAACATTGATTAAACGCCGTAAGTATAATAATGAGCAATTGTGCTTCAAAATTAAAAGTCCTGATATCACTGAGTGGGTCACTGATAACAAAATACATTTGTTTACTATATGAATTAGCGTCAATCAGATGTAGATAAATATTGGCATACACACAGAAATTATGGAGATAAAATCTTAAAGTTATTTATTGCAACCGCAAGTAAAATATGAAAATATAACAAGGCAAGACAATGATATCTCGTTAGAGTTACTGGCTCAGTAACTATGACAGAAGGAAAAAGTTTGTACGAGAATGCCAATCAAAGACTGCTTAAGATATTCATGCAGTATGTCACGGCTAAACGTTATAGGCTTAAAGCTCGGGCCCTATGTCATTAAAACTAGATATGAAATAGAGATTACTTTAGAAAGTGTCGTGCCTCGAACAATGGGTAGAAGTGGAGCAGACAGTG